CCATTCTCCCGTCCTTCTGTCTGTCCATCCGTCTGTCTGTCCTTCCATCCGTCCTCCTGTCCATCCATCCCTCTGACCGTCCTTCCGTCCATCTGTCTGTCCATCTGTCCGTCTGTTCACCCACCCATCCATCCATCCCTCTGTCCATCCATCCCTCCGACCGTCCTTCCGCCCATCTGTCCATCTGTCCGTCCGTTCATCCATCCATCCCTCTGTCCATCTGTCCGTCCTTCCGTCCGTCCGTAGCTGTAGATTGTTCTCTGGTTGGGGCTGAAATGAGTGCTCAGAGGCACTCAGGGCACTTAGGAACCAACTGCACCTTCTGCGTTCCAGAGCCCGCCCCTGGCTACATCCTCCCTCTGACCTCTGACCTCTGCCACCCTTTCCACAAGACCTCCATGGGGCTCCTTCGGGACTCCCTGCTGGGGTGGGAACCTCGGACTGGACACTCCCCCTCCAGTTCCTTCCCCAGACCCCCCCCCCCGCCTCTGCTACACTCGGGCGCCCCCCCCCCACCCTAGGACACTGCACACCCTCAGGGACAGTCCCCCCGGAGCAGTCCCCCTTCCAGGGACCCCGAGTCCCTCTCCGAGTGCCCGCCCCACGCAGCGGCAGGCAGAGCTGAGCCTTCAGCGCCTCCCGGGCGCGGCCTCCTGCCGAGATCCTCCTGCCGGTCCGGCTCCAGCCAACACGGCAGAGACAGGGCTGAGCCCCAGCCTGGGGGAGCAGCAGGTCACCCGCAAACACCTGCCCCAACACTGCCCTGCCCGCCCCCACCCCTCCCTTCCTCCGGTGCCCCCCCCCCCCCCCCCGTTGGCACAGCCCCCCTCCTCCCGAGGCCGAGCTATCCCAGCAGCACACCCTCTCCACGCCCGCACCATCTCCTAGAGGCCCAGCCCGAGGGGAGGGGAGGTGGTAAGTCCCTCAGGAACTGAGCCCCCCCGGGGCCGGCTCCACAGCAGCTCCCGGAAGCGGGCCTGCCTCCCGGGCCTCCCAGGGCTCTGTCCTCTCTCCCAAAGCACCCCACCTCCTTCAAACAAAGGAGAAAGGAGAAAAGAGAGACAGACAAGTGCCCCACCCGACCCGAACTCCCTTTCCCAGCAGCCCGGCCGCTCCGAAGCTTTAATCCCTTCAGAAACTGCCCTCCCCCTGTCTGCCCCCACCCCAGCATCCCGGACTCTATCCCCCACCCCTCCTCCGGGTCCTGGCGGCCCTGCAGGTGGCCAGCAATTCCCGTCAGTCAGTAAAGGAATGCTCGGATGTGGCACAGGAGTGCCTGAGGGTAGGAATTATGGGATTCCGATTAGCAATGAAGAAGCATTCCTTGAATAAATGGCTGCAAGAACAGGGCTGTTGAGTCCAGTATTAAAGGATCTGCCCACACCCTAGCTGTTTTGGCTCAGTGGATAGAGCCTCACCCCGAGGACCGAAAGGTCCTGGGTTTGATTCCAGTCAGAGGCACACACCTGGGTCTCCCGCCCTAGTTGAGGAGATTGCAGGAGACAACCAAATATCGGGTCCTTCTCACATCAATGTTTTTCTCTCTCGGTCTCTCCCCCTCCCTTCCACTCGCTCTGAGAATCAATGCACGGGTCCTGGGGAGAGGATTAACAAAAATAGAGGTGAAATAAAGGAAGGGGAAATTTACAGTCTCGCCGTGTGACCAGACTGTTGTTCTGGCCCCAGGCCAGAGGGAGGGTCTCTTCCAAACCTCAGCACCACACACAGGAAGTCTCGCTGTTTATCCGTTCCGAGCCTCTGTTCGCAGGGCTCAGTGTGAGCTGTTACCGACAGTCGTAACCTTGAACACATAATGAGTTTGCACTTGACATCATTATCAGTATTAGTCTATTTTATTTCTTTATTTTTTTATCCCCCCTCCCTAACTCTATTTTATTTCTTTATTAAGGTATCACATATTTGTCCTCAACCCTCCATTCCAACCCCCTTGCCCTCCCTACTCAAGCCCCCACCCCCTATGCATGCACACAAGTCCTTTGGTTGATCTCTCCCTTTTATCCCCTCCCTCCCTCTGAGGTTCAACAGTCTGACCCATGGCACCTTCTCTCTGGGTCTGTTCTTGTTCCTCAGTCTATGTTGTTCACCATTTCCCCTAGATGAGTGGGATCATGTCCTACTGGAAATATTCTTATAAGAATAAAAAATGAGACAGGCAATAATGGTTATGCTGAAAGGCCTATGTAGTTGAGTTTCTTTCTGGGCCACCAGTTCTTTTGAGACCCAATAGTATTAGTCTATCACAGTGGGTGGCCAGCTTGCAAGGTCAGACAGTTAATTTACCTTTTTCTAGTATTTCAACTAAAAAAACAAAGTCATTTTACAGTACAACAGACTGTTTTAAAGTGACAGAGTTCATAATGACAGAGTTTACAGTGACTAGGGACTCTCTGACAATAGCAGAGAGTTTCAAACAGCAGTTTTTCATACACGATGGAGGTCGCCACGCTTGAAAACCTTGCTTCAAGTCCGTTTCCCATGGTCCTCAGCTGTCTGCACAGAAAAATGTCTCGGTTGTCGACCAAAACTTCAGTTTTCCACCTGGCAACCCTCTCGGGCTGATACTGCAGCAGGACCGAACGCTTCTCTCCAGTAACAGACGAAAGGAGAGAATGCCTTTAGTACTGGCAACTTTAAACCACAAAGACCATCAAGAGTGCTAATGTCGCCGGGACCGGTTTGGCTCAGTGGATAGAGCGTCGGCCTGCGGACTGGGGGGTCCGGGTTCGATTCCGGTCAAGGGCATGTGCCTTGGTTGCGGGCGCATCCCCGGTGGGGGGTGTGAGGGAGGTAGCTGATCGATGATTCTCTCTCATCAATGTTTCTAGTTCTCTATCTCTCTCTCTTCCTCTCTTTGAAAAATCAATAAAATATGTTTAAAAAAAAAAAGAGAGAGTGCTAATGTCGCTAAGGACAGGAAAATGCTCACAGAACAGCCATCGAGGGGCATGGATGGAAGAGGCAGAAAAATGGATTGGATAAACAAAAAGCAGCCAGAGGTGGCATCTCAGAGGCAGTGATGTATGCAAAATCCCTTTAAGGCGAGTAGGGGGAGGTCTGATAAATGTAAGAAGTGTTTGATGGGGAGGGAGGGCATGCCTGGGCCCTCCCCTCGCACCTCTCCTCCGACTGGCTTTCTGCTACCCTCTGGGGCCCGCACAGCTTTCCCTCCCCACCCCGAGGACTGAGCCCGCTCCTTCCTCAGAATTCCTGACATACCAGATGGGATTCCCTGTTAAACTCTCAGCACGCACACCTTTTCTCTGCAGTAAGCCTGCGGTCTCCATGTCCTGAGGGGTCCCTGACCCAGGCGGGCCCTGGGGTGGTCCTGAGTCTGAGTTTTCGGTCACGGGGGGGACACACCCCGTGAGATAATCACAGAGAAAGCGGAGCCTGCGGCCCGGGGAAGGTAGATGATAACACGGGAATGTGTCCTTCAGGGCCTGGGAGCCGAGGTGTGTGGGCAGGGGCGTGAGGGGGCATTCCAGCATTTTCCAAGGATGTGTTGACCCAGTCGGTGTGGATCTAGCCAAGCGGTGGGCTCTGGGGAGAGACCGAATGAAAGAGCAAACCGACCTGCCCCAGAGCAGGATCCGGTAACTCCAACCTCCTGTCCCCAGGGCCAGGCCCCGGCCCTCCTGCTACTCCAGGCCTGGGCGAGCAGACCGGCCAGAACAGGGAGGATGGGGCTAAATTAGGCTTTTCCTTTTGCTTTGGGAGATGGCCCCAACAGGGTAAGAACCACATCAACCTTTAAGAAGGAAGAAGTAATAATAATAACAATAACAATAATATAATAATAATACAGATAACACTTGGAAGAGGGCCTGTGTCAGCCATGATTACAGTGATGGCGAGGCTAGCAGCTCCCGGCGGGGGAAGGAAGGGTGGAGGAGAAGGAAGTGGTTCTCAGAAAACATGGTGCGAAAATGGAGTGAGCGCAGGGTGCCAAGGCCCACGCCCGCGCCTTCCTGCAGGGCCAGCCCAGCCGCAGGGCGCTGAGCGCGGTGGGAGGGCAGCGCCCAGTCCAGGGGTCACTCGGTCCCTCCCTGGTTATCAAACATAAAACCGGGGCGGGGAGGCCCGTGCGGCGGAGCGGCGCCCGCGTCCAGCCAGGCGGGGCTCAGCCTGGCCTTCGGGGCCCGGAAAGCCGCCTCCAGTCCCCCACCCCGCCGCTCAGGGGCCCGGGGCCAAGCATCCGCAGCCCAGGCCGGGCGGGTACCAACCGGACGGCCGCGCGGGCTGCGAACTACACTCCCCAGCATGCAACGGGCCAAGCGCGGCCACGCCCCCTCCCGGCCGCGCCTCCCAGGGAGCTGCTGGGACTTTTCATTGACCTCGGAGCTCGCTCGCGTTCGGATCCGCTCGGGTCTCGCCGAGGCCCCGCCCCCTCCGGCGGGCACGTGACCCCGCCGGGTCCCGCGAGCTGCGTCCTTCGCCCCCTCTCGGTGGTCCAGGCCGGCTGCCTGTCTGGAGCGGGGGGCGGGGCTGCTCACTGATTGGTGGGCTCCGTTTGGCGCCAACTAGGAAAGGGGGCGGGGCGGGCTCGGGAGGCAGCTATTAGCGCGAAAGGGCTCGGCGCCGCGCAGTCCACGAGCGAGGCGGCAGCCGGCGCGGCCACTGCGGCTCCGGCGGGCGAGGGCCAGGACGACGCGCAGGCAGCTGGGCCCGGGCCGCGGCCTCTCCGCTCCGCTCCGGCCGCCTCCCTCGCCGCCGCCGCGTTTGTTTGGATTTAACCTCCGGGCGCCGCCGCCCGCCGGCCTCGCGGGACGAGCGGGAAGCACCCGTGCGTGTGGGTGGCGCCTGCCGGGCCGGACGCCCGCCCGCCCGCCCGCCGCCGTCCGCGCCTCCTCCGCGGCCGCCGCTCCCGGACCGCGGGGCCGTGTTTGTGTTTGAGCCGCGGCACCGGCACCGGCGGGCGCGCGGCCCAGTCAGCGCGGCGGGCGGGCGGGCGGCGGAGCCAGAGGAGCCGGGGCGCCGCCATGGAACTGGGCCCGGAGCCCCCGCACCGCCGCCGCCTGCTCTTCGCCTGCAGCCCCCCTGCCGGGCCGCCGCCCGTCGTGAAGGCGCTCTTCGGCGGCGAGGCCGCCGGCGGCCTGTCGCCTGTCACCACGCTGGCGGCCACCATGGGCCAGCTGCAGGGCCTGGGCAGGTGAGGAGGCCGGGCCCGGGGAGGGCGGGCCTGTGCGCCCCGCGGGCGGGATGCTGGGGCGGGAGGCCGCCGTCGGGCCTGGGCGGCCGGCAGGGTGCGGGGCGGCCAGGCCTTCGCTGCCCCTGCCTTTCGGATTGCCCCCCTTGCCCGCTTCTGCCCTGGCCCCAGGAGGCTGTTCGGGACCCCCTGGGCACAGACAGGCCCCCGAGGCCGCCCTGCCCTGCAGGATCCTCGTTTCCTTTTTTTTTTTTTTTTTTTTTTTTAATATATTTTATTGATTTTTCACAGAGAGGAAGGGAGAGAGATAGAGAGTTATCGATAGAAACGTCGATGAGAGAGAATCATCGACCAGCTGCCTCCTGCACACCCCCTACTGGGGATATGCCCGCAACCAAGGTACATGCCCTTGACCGGAATCGAACCCGGGACCCTTCAGTCCCCAAGCCGACACTCTATCCATTGAGCCACACCGGTGCCGGCCCTCGTTTCCTTTCCAACAAAGGATCGTGGCACACTCTCTCCTGTTTTTTTGTGTGTGCAAAACCCTGGGGATCCCTGCCCCCTGCACGTTCCCGATGTCCACTCGCATGTGTGCCTACAGCCGGGCCTTTTTACCCAACTTCCTGTACTCAGAATCCTCTGGGCTTCTCGGAGGAGAAAGAAAAATTTAAAAAAGCATCCCACAGTGTTGGCTGGAAGCTGCTCTCCCTGCGACCTTGGACCTGGCGCTTCCTAAGGAAGCACGTGTCCTGTAGCTTGTTTCCCTGTGTGTGTGGCTGCTCCGAGCTCAGTGCCTGCAGGACACACTCCAGCCCTCACCGAGTCCCCCTGTCCGGCACCGCCCCCTCCCCATCCTCCCTGGGGGGGTGCTGGGCCCTGAGTTGTGCTGCGTGGGGCAGCGATGCCCTCACGGCCGAGAAACACGGATTCTCTCCTTGGTTTCAGTGTGGGTGAGCAGCCGCCGGAGGCCAAGAACAGCAGTCTTCAGAGGATGGGCTCCTCAGAGTCAACAGATTCAGGTACTTGTCCTCACCGCTGGTTCGTCCTGGGCCGGTCCTGTGCCCTGTGTGTGGGGCACAGTCTTGCGGAAGCCTGTGCTTTCACCAGGAGCGGCCTGCGGCAGCCTGGCAAGGGAGCACCAGGCAGGCGCTGGTCACTGCGCTCCGCCAAGGCAGCTGGGTGCCGTCCACTTGTCCACGTTCAGTGGTTGCTTCCCCTGCCCCGGGATCTGATCCAGCAGCCACTGGATGCCTAGAGAAGTGGAGCAACGCACCCATCTCTCGCTCTCTAACATAGATAAATAATCAATAAATCCGCACCCAGAGAGGCAGGCTGCTGATTTGGGCTGTGCAGGGCAGTGGTTCCGCCTGCCCCTTCTGGGGGGCGGGCACCTCTCTTGTTGGTGACTTGTTGAAGGCAATAAATGCCTGACTGTCCTATGACACGGTCGTATTTCCAGAACCCCCGAGTTAGGCATGGGGATCTGACAAGGTAAGGTATTTGAAATAAAAACTATGCCAGACATTGGTGCTGGAATGTTCTCTCTGGGGGCTGGAACTCACAGAAAGTTACTGGGTAACTTTCTCAATAACCACAAAGAGATGAGAGGGTTCGGGCTAATTCTCACCCTCCTCAAATGCCATCTTCCTTGATGGGATTTGCAAATAGGCCAAGGAGACTGGCAGATATATTAATACCATGAAAATGTGATGTTTCTGACAGTCATACTAGTTGGCATAAAGTCCAGGCCATCTTTGTGGAGTGGTCTAAAGAAACAGGACTAGGGAGTCTTATTTTTTAGAAAGATATATTTTATTGGCTTCTTTTTTACAGAGAGGAAGGGAGAGAGATAGAAACATCAATGAGAGAGAAGCATCGATCAGCTGCCTCCAGGGGATGTGCCCGAAACCAAGGTACATGCCCTTGATCGGAATCGAACCCGGGAACTTTCAGTTCGCAGGCCGACGCTCTATCCACTTAGCCAAGGAGTCTTATTTTAAGACAAAATGGTGTTTTGTGTACTTGTGCCTAAAAGATGCATTCTTTTCCCTACAGGCTTCTGTCTGGATTCTCCTGGGCCCTTGGACAGTAAAGAAAAGTATGTATTCACTGCTTTTAGATGTTAGTGCTGAGAAAAAAATCCCTTAATTTTTTTATGAAATTGGTCATACTCTGGATTTAGCTGTCCCTAATAAGACTCCTCCTAGATCCTATCAACAGTCTGATATCTTACCATTATTATTATCACTACTACTATTTTTTAAATGCTCACCCAATGCCCTGGTGGGGATAGCTCAGTTGGTTAGAGCATTTTCCCAATACACCAAGGTTGCTGGGTTCAATCCCGGGTCATGGTGAAGCAACCAATGAATGCATAAGTAAGTGGAACAACAAACCAGTCTCTCTCTAAAATAAGTAAATAAATAATAAGTCATCACCCAAGGAAATGTCCTTAGAGAGGAAAGGAGGGGAAGAGAGAGAAGAAGCACGGATGTGAAAGCGAAACATCCGTCTGTTGCTTCCTGTATGTGGCCAATCCAGGAAATCTATTGCCTTGACCGGGAATTCGACCCTTTACCTTTTTGGTGTGTGGGTGATGCTCCAACCAACTGAGCCACCCGGCCAGTGCAACAGTCTGATTTTTTATTTGTTAATACTTTTTATTGATTTCAGAGAGAAACATCAGTGATGAGAGAACCATTGACCAGCTGCCTCATGCATACCCCACATTGGGGATCGAGCCCAAAACCTGGGCATGTGCCTTTGACCAGAATCGGACCCAGGACCCTTCTGTCCACAATCCTGATATGCCTGCCTCTGCTTTATTCTCATGATTTACCTTCTGGTTTCATTGCAGCCTTGAAAAGTCCATGAGGAGAATAAACTCCCTGCCTGTAAGTCAGCCCTCTAGTATGTTTCCAACTAATACCTGTGTCTCCCCCCCCCCCCCCCCCCCCCAGCTGCCAGGAATGCTCTTAATCCCAGACGTGGATTTAGACAATGGAGTCTTTTCCTTAGTTTCAAAAGCATTCAGACTTTCCTAGAAGCTACTTCAAATCTGCCTTTTTCCTCCACCTCTGATTATCAGCTTTGGGAACAGGAGGGGTTCTTTTGTGTAAGCGATGTTATCAGGAAGGGGCGATTCCTCAAACCCAAGTCCCGGCTGAGGGCTGTAGACCCGGGAGTGCGAGTGAGGCCACGCGGTGGGCACTCACCTTCTGGCCACTTCACTGCAGTGAGGGCGGGTGCCGGCAGCTCTGTCTTTGGAGAACTGAGTTGCCATTGCCTTTTCGTTGATGGTCTGACCTCCCTTCCCTTTGGCAGCCGAAGCTTCTGGGATGTAGCCCAGCTCTGAAGAGGAGCCATTCGGAGTCTCTGGACCGTGGTGCCTTCCAGCTGACGGACCCGGAGGAGAATAAGGAAAACGTGAGTGCTGCTCCTCGGACTAACCTGCAGAGCCCCAGGGCAGGTCTGTGGGCAGGGCCGGCTGCTTCCGGGGAGAAGGCGCTGGCGGGGGGAACATGCGTCCTGCTGGGAGCTCTGCCCTCGGCCAGTGTTCCTTCCTCGAGGTTCTGTCTGAGCAGGAGCAGCGGGTCCTGTAGGGCTGTTGTGGGACTCGGGGAGAGGACACAGGCCTTTCACCTGGTTCAGGAAAGCAGGCCTTGCCCTACCGGGAGCTCTCAGGGGTCCTTACATCCATGCGGGCAAGTCCCAGGGAGTGTCAGTCACTGAAGCGGCAGCTGAGAGGCTGAGCTGTGCTTGCCGTCGGAAGTCCAGGCTTCTTGTGTATCTCCCATCTCCTCTCCCCTCCTTTCCCTGCTAAACTGCCAGTCCATCCTGCTCACAACCTGAGAGACTCTGGGAGACCTCTGATGCCTGGGCAGCTTGGGAGAGACCCGAAGAGGATGAGTTCCTGCCTTCAGTGCCCCAGGCTGCGGCCTCGGGAGTGGCTTCTACCTGGGCCAGGTGCAGACCTAGGCCAGGCCTGGTGTCCCGGCCCCCCCTTTCAGCCTTGGCTTCTCCCGGGGTGGCCTGCCTGGAGCCTCCTTCTAGAAGGAAACAGCATAGGGTAGAGGTGTCCTGGCTGCCAGTGAAGCCAGATTCCAGGCACATCACTGCCTGTGAGGTCTCCGGTGGACGGGGACGGACCATGAACTGGTGCCCAGACAGCACTTGGTCCAGTGCTGGCACCGGAGCCTCTGGTGTTAGCTGTCACTGCCCTGAGCACGGGGACAGCTGTTCGGTGGGCACCTTAGGAACGGGTTCTGAGTGCGTTAGAGGAGCAGTAAAAGGAACCACACAGGGTGTGTTCACTTCTGGCCTTTCCCTCAGCCGTTTGTGAGGTTTGGTGTTTGGTTGTCCCCCGTGGCTTTTAGTACGGAATTCAATAATTCCATTTTTTATTTTTAAATGCGTTTTTATTGATTTTAGAGGGAGAAACACAGCTCAGCTGCCCTCTGCATGCCCCCTACTGGGATCAGGCCCCAACCCCAGCTGGGAATGTGCCCCAGCTGGGAATCGATGCTCAGCTACCTGAGTCCTCCGTCTGGCTGGGTGCAGTGATGTTACGCGGGGGAGTGTGTCTTGGGAGGAAGAAGGTGGCAAGGTGACGCTCTCAGACAGATGTGTGTGAAAAGCTTGGCTCCCTCCCGTCTACAGGGTGGTGACGTGGCTTTAGATTTAAAACAGTTGACTCGCCTGTAAGACAGTGTTTGTGGACTCGGCAGTGAGTGCTTGTAGGGGAACTCAGCCTGGTGAGGAGACAGCCTGGGTCAGAAGTCGGCTGTCGCAGCCTTTGGAATGACTAGCTACACGAACTGGTGTTGGCGTCGGGTCAGAAACGTGACGGGCCTTAGTTGGAGGCGTTTACGGAAGGGACCAGGGCCCACTCCCGTCCGTCTCACCTAGCTGGTGCCATAGGCCGGGGAGATGTCTCCACTGTACTGTCTTGCAGGAAGCCTTTGCGTTTAAGAAGCCAATCAGACCCGCATCTCGAGGCTGCCTGCGCCGTGAGGAGGGTAGCGGTCTCTTCCCCCCGAGGCGGATGGTACGTTTCCCCGGGAAGAGAACTCCAGCGCCATGCCCTGGAGCGGAGACCGCAGTGGCTCTGGTGTCTTTACGGACCTTGTCTTTGGAGCGAGTCGGTCACATTTGTTGGTGTTTTTGCTGTGTCTGGAGAGGAGAGGGCGGAAGCTGAGTGAGAGGCGGTCTGTTTGAAATATTGGACTTGAGCACAGGACGTTGGGCCCGTCGGTTCTGGGAAGATCATGTGCAGGCCTCCTGGTCATTCTCTCCGGCGGGTTCCATGTCTCACGTGAAACCTGCTCTTCCCCAGAGCGTCCTGGTGCTGAGCGCTGACTGCGGAGGATCTCAGAGGCACGGAGGAGGAGCTGTGGGTCTCAGGGAACCACCTCTGGGCTGCTGGGTGGTGAGGCCACTGGCCCAGGGCAGCCATCGCCGGACAGACTGCCCTCACTCGAGCTTTTCTCCGGGTGATCTGAGCGCGGTGACTAGAGGGGCCCAGCGGGGACAGGAGGATCACGTTTGGTTCCTGGTTTTGCTGGGAGCGTGCTTCTGAAATGCAGCTCTCCCCACCGGCTTGTGGTCTAGGACTGTGTCAGCCAGTTGCTATGTCTAGCATTAGCACAAAACATTTTTAAAACGTTTTTATTGATTTGAGAGATTAACATTGATTGGCTGCCTCCTTCATGGCCCTTACTGGGGATCGAGCCCACAACCCGGACCTGTGCCCTGACTGGGAATCTGTGCCAGGGCAGCACAGAGCAATGTTAGGTTTTGTTTGTTTTGTCATACGAGAAGGTTTGTTGGGAATCACAGAGGTGGTTGGAGTGAGCCAGCTGGGCTGCGGAGGCCCGGAAGACAAGTTACAGAGCAGAAGGCGAGAGGGAGAGGGAAGATGGGGGAGGCTGAGGGGAGGAAAGCATGGCGCCTCGGAGGGAGGAGGGCCTGTTCTCACCTTTCCCCTCAGGTCTGTGAAGGAGCTGAATCGCATGGAGAGTGCTCAGGACCTTAGGTGATTGATTGCCAAGGGACACGGTAACCCTTTGAGAGCTGGTATCCAAACTGAACATGTTTCATGCGTATGTGCACGCCTGCTCGAGACCAGCATTTCCTGTCATCACCTGGCTGCCCTTACTGCAGCCACTGCGAGTGAACAGGACAGGCCGTGCTGATCCCATGGGGTGGCTTTCGCCCATCAGAGGGCATTTGCTCTGGGTCCTTTCCGTCTGCCAGCACGGTGTCTCCTCTGGTGTGAGGTGGTGGAGGAAGGTGATCTGTCCAGAGGTTTGTGTGTCATTTTCTGTAGCTTCTGCACCCGGGGAGTCAGGAGCCTAGGTCACAAACTGGTGTTCTGCCAGGTGTGAGCATCGGAGGGTGTTGTCCCTGGTCGCTGCCACCCTGCGTTCTGCGGGGTGAGACCCGGGCCCCTGCAGTGTGCCCGGGTGCCTGGCTGCACCTGTAACGGCCAGAGCTCAGATCTTGTTCATGTTGGGAAGCAAAGTGAGGGCCAGGACGGCAGGCTGCCGCAGAGGATGCTGGGAGCGGTCTGCCCAGGCCACAGGATCACATACTCAGGCCCCCAAGGGGTGTGGGTCTTGGCGGTGTTTGCAGGGCTGACGTGGGGACCACCAGCTCCTGTGGAGGGAAGTATGGCTGAGCGCCTTCCTGGCTTCGGAGAGCACAGAGAAGTAAAGTGTCCGCGATGCTTCTGAATGGCTAAACTTCCCTGGGTCTGGCACATGGGCTGCCTGTGAGATGCCGTGTTCACTCTGAGAGTTCTCTCCTGGGAGGGCAAGGTGGGAACAGGTGAGCCTGTGACCTTTAACCTGCTCTCCTGGCCTGTGAAGTAAGAGGGAGGCTCGCCCAGAGCGCTGGGGTCGTCACTGGGGACGTGCCGGTGGAGGCGGGGCCCTGTGGAACCGGCCTTGTGAGCACTCGCTGGGCCACTGCCTCGCGCCCTCCTCATCCCCGCCCTCCCGGTGCTGTGACACTGCCACAGCGCTGATAGGCCTTGTCTTCCAAAGGCCATCGGGTCCTGCAGTCGGGGGATTGCTTCGGGGAGGGGTCTTTGTGAAGGCTGCTTGGCCTCACACCCCTTAGTGCTGGATGTGGACATGGAACCATTATTCTTTCAAATATGTTTTTATTGATTTCATAGAAGAAGGGAGAGAAAGGAACATCAGTGATGAGAGAGAATAATTGGTCAGCTGCCTCCTGCACACCCCCTACTACAGATCGAAACTGCCACCCAGGCCTGTGCCCTAACAAATTGAACTGGGACCCTTCAGTCCAAAGTTGCTCTATCTACTGAGCCAAACCAGCCAGGGTGATGTCAGATTTATAACGTCACCCTGGGGTTCATATTCATCTGATGAGTAGTGCTAACATTTTACTTAAATATACTGTTTTTCTCATAACTAGTGACCCGTCCGAGGAAGTCAGAGTTGACCGCTCATTAACAGGCTGGCTTCTGTCTTGTAGCTTTCCTCCAACGAAAGAGAGAACAGCGAGCCAGGGGCCTTCGCTCCCCTCTTTCTGCTCCCGTCGCCCGCGGCCGCCGCTCTGTCTGATGAGGACGATGGCTTCATGGACCTTCTGGACGGAGAGAGTCTGAAGGTACTGGCGGTGCTTCCTGTCTGTTCCTACCTGCCCAGGAGCCCGGTGAGAGTGGTGGGGAAGAAAAGGTCCAGCGGTGCCCAGGGCTGGAACTAGCAGGTGTCTTTCATCTGCTGAGGACGTGCTTTGTGTCCTTTCTGTCTGCCTCCATGATCTCACACCGCACCTCCTCCTGAGTGGACGGGGTGCTTGTGCAGATGACCGAACTGAAATGTGAGCCTCCTTGCTCACATGGGAGGGGGGGGAAGAACACTAGATGGCAGTTAGGCACAGTCACGCCAGCATTTAAACCAGTGCTCCTCTCTGCGCCTTTGTCACATTCTCTAGAATGACGAGGAGGCCTCCTCCTGCATGGCAAGCCTCTGGACAGCCCCCCTGGTCATGAGGAGACCTACAAACATGGTGAGTGGGTCTGGGGGGCATTGGGCCTCTGACGGCTGCACTGAGCAAACAGGAAGGAACCCTCTGCTCACATCACCACAAGAATCAAAAATGGCTTCATTTGAGACTCTGTTTTGGGGTCTCTGGGCCTTGACTGGTCACTGGTTTTCTCGTGTTAATGCGCTCTGCCTTTTATGTCCCTTCAAGTGTTTTGTCCTCATTAACGTTGAGACAGTGTCAGTAATGTGTGTACTTACAGTTCTTGTTTTTATAATTTCTCGTGCATCCCGACCATTCTTGGTCAACCAACACCCTTTCTGTACAACCCTGACCTCTGTGAGCTCCGGGTTAAGATCGCTGGCTGACATCTGGAAATCAGTTGTTCTTAGAGACATACAATGGAATTGGCTTGGATTTTAATGGAAAGCTTTCAGAGTGAGTCCCGTGTCAGCAGCAAGAATAGAAAGACTCCAGCAGACACCTGCACTCACTCGCCCGCATGAGCTGCAGCTGCAGCTGCTCCTCGAGAGCCTGGCCCAGCAGAGCTGGTGCAGCCTCGCCCTCCTTCATCAGGGCAGAGAGGCCGCCGGGCTGCCACGTGCTTTCCTGTCCACGGAACGTGGGAAGATGGGAGCACGTGTGGGGCACACAGGAGAACACGGAGACTCACAGCCATGAGCGATGGCGGGCCGACGGGTGAAGAGTTTAGACAGGGCTTCATGGGAAGAGGAGCTGAGGCTTGGACAGTCGGGTTGCCTCCCGAGTTGGGAGGGAGGCTGGTGGTCACCAGGAAGGCGTGCTGGAGGGGGACCAAGGATCGGCTGAGGTCCTCCCAGCGACTGACCGGTGGCCCTCGGCACCGGCAGTGGGTGCAGGTGGAGTGGGTGTGGCCCTGCGGAGCGGCAACCACGGTGGAGGCCCTGTTAGCCTCACAGCAGCTTTCCCCGGAGCGCTGAGGAGCGGGCCGCAGCTGCCTTCTGTCCCCGGGTCTCTTGGACCTTTTAATTCTCATCCAGGTGGAAGTTCAGGAAGATAGGTTTCCGTTGACTTAGAGAGTGAGGAGGAGGGGGGAGGGAGAAATATTGATGTGAGAGACACAGCGATTGGTTGCCTCCCACATGCAAGGATCGAGCCTGGGACGCTCTGGTGTGTAGGCTGGTGCTCTAACCACTGAGCAGCAGCCGGAGCTCCTGGACTTGGTGTCCAGGCTTTTCAACATTTGCACAAAAAATCTGCCTGGCATCTGGAACACGGTTTCTCTCTGCTTTGTAAAAGATTGTTTGCTTGTAGGTACCCCCCGGCGTTGGTTAGGACAGCTGGGGAGCGTGAGGTGCTGAGAGCTGGGCCTGTGAGCCTGGGGCCTGGGGATAACGGGTTTTATGTCTTTTCCCAAAGGGCAACCGCTGCAAGCCGCTGGACTGCACCCCCGCAGGCAGCCCCGCCCTGCGCTCCGCGCGGAAAAGACCCGACTCCTTGCAAGAGCTGTCCCCGCCGGGAAACTCGAAGCGGAGGAGGAGCGCGCTCAGAGCCAGTCCCGGGGCGGCCGCCAGCCCCGACAAGGCCCGGGAGGTGGGTGTTGCAGGGAGAGCGGCCCCTGTTTTCGGTTCTAAAATTCCCGCCTGCCTCCTCATTCGCTGAAGAGTTCGGTAACCTTTTGGATGACGGCTTTCAAATCTTCCTCACGCTCCCAGCATCTGCCTGGGTGTTGGCTTCTGTTGGTGTCTTTTCCTATTCAGGTGGAGGTTTTCCTGGCTCTTGCTCTGACAGTGATTTTTCAGTTGCATCTGCGTGTTTTGGGTGGGTAGGTGTCTCCTGACTACGGGGAAGGCGGGACTGAAGTTCAGGTGGAAGTCACTGCCCCGCTCGGCCTCTGGCATGTATGGGGCGGAGGAGTGGACTCTGCTCCCTGCTGGCCTTACTGACCCCGCCCCCGGGGAGTAAGGTGGGGCCACTTCCTCACAGCGAGGCAGGTACGGCTCCAAGCTATTGTGGATCCTCACCGAGGATCCTTCTCCACTGGTTTTTAAGAGAGTGGAGGGGAGCCGAAACCGGTTTGGCTCAATGGATAGAGCGTCGGCTTGGGGACTGGAGGACCCGGGTTCGATTCCGGTCAAGGGCATGTACCTTGGTTGCGGGCATATCCCCAGTAGGGGGTGTGCAAGAGGCAGCTGGTCGATGACTCTCTCTCATCGATGTTTCTAACTCTCTATCTCTCTCCCTTCCTCTCTGTACAAAATCAAATAAAATATATTTATAAAAAAAAAAAAAAAAAAAAAAAAAGAGAGTGGAGGGGAGAGGGAGAGGCACATGGATGGGTTACCTCCTACAGGCACCCTTGACCGGAATCAAATAGGACCCTTCGGTCTGGGGGCTGACATTCTGTCCCGAATCAAACTGACTGGGGCTCGTCCTTTTGACCGCCTGCCCACCTGTGGACCAGTGACTGTCTTCAGGGCCCTGGCTCTGGGCAGTGAGGCCTCTGCCTCCCTCACTGTTTCCTCCACGAGCTAAAGCCTGGGGAGGGCTCGCACCCCGCTGGGAGCACTCCGTCTCAGCTGTGTATATACGATGGCCTATGGACTTCCTGGTTTTGAAGCTATTTTTCCTCCTGAGACGTCGTGTTTGGCTTACTTCCGATTGCTTTTGTGTATACAGTTCCCTGCACCGCGCCATCAGTCAGGCTTTGGTGTTGGCATTAGGCAGTAACCCGGGAAAGTGCCCTGTGTTCTGTGGCGTGGGAAGGCTTGAGCAAACAGCCGCCCTGGAAGGCAGACGGCAGGCAGGGAAGCATCTAGGCCTGATGCCTCGTAGTTGACAATCACTCTAGGTGCTGACACTTTAGGAAAGTTTGTTTTTTCTAATTAAAAGCGGAATTCCAGGTTAAAGGGCAAGAAGGTTTGTGAAACTTCGTGTTGTGTACACGTCAGCAAACCGCCTTTGTTTTTTAAATCTGGATCTAAGGAAGTTGGTTGAGAGGCCTCTTATCTAGACCCAACCTTCCTTTTATTCCTGCTCTGGGGAGGGGCCAGGAAAACTTAGTTTCAGGGAAATTCAGTTAGATTCAGTCCAACAGGAAAAATCTGCACTTGCTGAGTGTGAACAGTTTAGTCTGTGACGTGTTCCAGGGGAGTGTTCTGGAAGCCCTGCCTCGGACCCTGGCTCACCCCCCCTCCGATGTGTTACAGCTTCTCCGTCTGCCTCCCGCCCTGGCGTCGCCCCCCAAAGGGACCATTGAGAACATTTTGGATAATGACCCGAGGGACCTCATCGGAGACTTCTCCAAGGTAACGCAGCCGCTGGCTGTGACGCAGGCGGATGGGTTACCTCCCCCGCCCCCTCTCTGAGGGGGCTCCTGGGTGTCCCTACGGGACACGGCTTGAAGTTTTTAAGGCCTCTGTGGGACGGCAGGCCTCACTGGTGCTGCTCAGTCTAAGTAGGAAGCCCTTCTCCCACCCCAGGCAGACTTACTGTAAAGGCAGGAATGCAGAGATCTGCAGCCTCGCCACGATCTGTGTCAGGGTTTTTCAGAAGGTCCAGGGTTAAAACGGAAATTCTCACCTGGACATGCGCCCTGACCAGGAACGGAGCCGTGGCCTCCTGGTTCCTAAGTCAATGCCCAGCCCCTCTCCACGCTGGCTGGGCTGGCAGTGTTTTACAGCTGCCCTCCCAGCAGGAGGGCGGCGTCCACGTGCTGAGTGTCTCTCTCTTTAGGGCTATCTCTTCCACACAGTCGCCGGGAAGCACCAGGACCTAAAGTACATCTCTCCAGAAATTGTAAGCCCTGCTTCCGAACCGGAAGCTGTTTGATGCTCGTGAGCTGTTTGATGCTCATTATTTCCAGCAGCCAATGCTGATTCTCCTGGCCTTTCTCTCCTCAGATGGCGTCTGTTTTGAATGGCAAGTTTGCCAACCTCATTAAAGAGTTCGTGATCATTGACTGCCGGTACCCGTACGAATACGAGGGTGGCCACATCAAGGTGAGGGTTCCTGAGGCCGGTGAGCCTGCTGTCAGGAGGCACGAAGGGGGCCCTGGGCGGCACCTGTGACTGACGGAGGTGGGACCCCTGGCTGCCTGGGAGCTCACAGGCTGGTCCTGGTCTGCATGGCTGCCACCTCCTGCACAGCCAGGCCGCAGACCCAGGCCTCGCCCATGGCTCCGTTAGGCTGCCTGGCGGGAAGGGGTGTTGGGACACACTTTCCCGGAAGGAGGTAGCTGCTTGTGCGTTTCAGTCTTGTAACCAATAAAGTGATGTTGAAATGGGTGGGGGTGCTTTAAAAGTTGTGTTTGTCACTGCCTGTGGCTTTTGAAAGTCCCCGAATCCACACGTAGCACTCAGGAAGGCGCCCGGGTAAGAGCCTGTGGGGCATCGTCCCGCCAGCGGGAGGCGGTGCTGAGCCTGTGTCTCCGCAGGGCGCCGTGAACCTGCACATGGAGGACGACGTGGAGGACTTCCTGCTCAAGAAGCCCATCTGCCCCGCGGACGGCAAGCGTGTCATCGTGGTGTTTCACTGCGAGTTCTCCTCCGAGCGGGGCCCCCGCATGTGAGTTCAGGCGCCCGGGCAGTGTGTGTGCTCCCCGCGGGCACCGGGCTGACCGTGGCCTCTCCAGGCTGACTGGGCACCGGGCACTGGGCGGGGTTGTGAGAGCTCAGATCCCCACCCCGTGGTAGGTGTTCTCCGAAGTGCTTCCCCGCTGAGCAGCCACTCGCTGCCGTAGCAGCTTCCTGGCGTGAGCGAGTGGGCGGGGCCTGCCTCTGCGGCACCCACTCCTAGTGAGCCCCTGCCACTGCGGTGTGGCTCACTGCTCAGCTTCCTTCCCACGGAGGTCAGCCCCTGCCGTCCGTCCTTCCTCCCGGGGCCCCTGTCCCAGTGACACCTGAGGTGCAGGGGCGGCTTTGTCGCACGCCAGGAAAGCGTGGCGTCCTCACTCGGAACTGGATGTGGCGCTGGAAACCGTTTCCAGTCCGTGCTTGCAAAGGAGCGGGTGTGTTCTCGCTCGTTATTGCCGCATTGGGGTGGGCGAAGTGCCCGCCCACACTCCGCTGGGGCTCTGGTGTCTGAGGCCCTTTGTTACCAAAGCATCGCTTTTGCCGAAGTCGGTGGGAGTGGTTACAGGAGCAGCATTCCCTGAGGTGTGAAGAGCTATCGGGCCTCACTCGCTAACGAGCAGTGCTAGGCCCCGCTGCTCTGCTGGGAGCACTGACCTGCGCCTTCTCCCTGGCAGGTGCCGCTACGTGAGAGAGCGGGATCGGCTCAGCAACGAGTACCCCAAGCTCCACTACCCGGAGCTGTACATCCTGAAGGGCGGGTACAAGGAGTTCTTCCTCAAGTGCCAGGTCAGCATGGCCGCCCCTTGCCAGGCGGGTGGAGGGATCTGCCTGTGGTCACGGCTGCTCTGCCGGTGTCTGGGGATTTGCCCGGCCAAGAGGGGCCTTAAACCCACTGGCCAGCTGCACTGCTGCCCAGTCTCCCGGCCCCCGGAGGGAGGGAGAGAGGGAGGGAGGGAGAGAGGGTTAGGGGAGACAGGTGCACCTGACCTCGCTGCCCTGTCCCCTAGTCTCACTGCGAGCCCCCCAGCTACCGGCCCATGCACCATGAGGACTTCAAAGAAGACCTGAAGAAGTTCCGCACCAAGAGCCGCACCTGGGCCGGGGAGAAGAGCAAGAGGGAGATGTACAGCCGCCTCAAGAAGCTCTGACGGCGCTGGGGCAGCCGTGGCCGTGCCTGCTCCGCGCCCCCCCCCCCCCCTTTTCCCTGCGGAGAACAGGAGCCACGAGGGCAGTTTGGAGAGAGGCTGGGCTTCCTCCTGCAGCTCCCTCCACGCCACACGCCGAGGATGGAGCCAGAGCACCCCGGCTGCGCCTTCTCCGTCCCTGCACCAGGCGTCCCCGCCCAGCTCTCCTCTCGGTCCCACAGCCTTAGGAGCACCGGGGCCTCAACTGGGCACTGGACCCCTCGTGAGGGGAGGGGAGGGGAGGGAGTGAAGACCACGGAAGCACGGCTCACACACTCCGAAGTCAGCTGGGGAGGGATAACCCACGTCTTAATTTATTCAACCTCATCAATCACTTTATTGCTACTTTTAACTCCTGGAGACTTATTTAACTGCTTCTTTAAGTCACAATACTGCCATTTTATCATCCCAAGACTACCTCTGCTTTTAATTAAGAAAGAAAAGGAGGGGAAGAGGCCGCCTGAGTGCAGGACAGAACTCCCTCTGTCACCAGGAGGCGCTGCGTTCCCGGCTGCTGCTACTTCAAGCCAAAGACAGATGCAGGGGGGGGAGCGGCACTGGACTCTGCCTTGGCGACGGGCGGCACCGTACCTACCTCCGGGCCACACAGCTACGTGGGTGCCCTGTCCTCCCCGTTCCCGGCCGAGCCTGGTCTGGGCCGATGAGGAAAGCACTTCAGGCAGCCTCCGCTGGGGAACACGGTAGCGAGAGTATCCCAAAGGGGGGCGCTCTGGGCGGGGAGTGTGTGCTGAGTGTCTTCCTCTCGCACTCCGGAAGCTTTGGATTTTCTAAAAAGTCATTTTGTGCGCCAAGGAGCATCCAATCAGTGTTAGCGGCCCCGGGTGGCGGCGGGCTCAGAGCCTGTGTTGAGGGGGCTGTGGGTGCTGGCGTGCGATGACGGATGGTCCTCAGGCAGTATGGTGGGTTGGAAGGTGAAACTCTGAGTTTATCATGTTTTCCCTGAGGGGCAGGGAGTGATGGCCATGTCGCCAGTTGCCTCCCCGTCCGGCCCCAGGAATGGGGGTCTCCAAGGAGCACCCCTCCTCGGAGCTGGGCCAACCAGAGGATTCTGGACGCTGGTTCAGCTCCTGCTGGTCCTCAGACACCAGCCCCGACCATCTCTGCTCCCTCGGGGTGCAGCCAGGTGTCTTGTGCACGAGTCAGCCCCCTTCCTCACTGCCTATTGGGGTGGGAGGGAACCAGTGATGCTGGTGTGTTCGTGGGTTTGAGTTGCATTTGACTATAAAACAATCTTGTTAGAAAAGTGATGTGGGAGCAGGAGGGGACCTCACTCGGTCTCTGGTCTGTTCATGGGGATTCTGTTGGTTGAATGCTGGGAGGAGGTGGTGGCCTCCAGGTTTGCAGTGCGGTGAGCACTGCCAACCAGCCATCATGGCTCTGAAATAAAACCAATCTTGAACCCGTGCTCGGCTTCATGGGTTTTTACTGAATCTATTCAAACGGGATCGGGAACTCGTGATAAGACCAGTGCTGGGCAGCCACAGGGCTCTCTGGTTAGGCCCCGCGTCCAGACACCTGGCCTAACAGGACGGCCGCCCGCAGGCGCTCCCTGAGACAGCTCCTGTGGAGGAGGCAGCAGCAGAGGGCCCTGAAGAAGTGGGTCTTGACCTTTCTTTTGTTGACTAGAGGCCTGAGGCCCGAGAATTCAGGCACTGGAGGGGGTCCCTCAGTGGTCAGGGAGGGCCACACCCCATCTCACCTCTGCTGCTGCTGCCACTGCCGGCAGCACAAGCCTCGAGACAGCCACACACGGGGCACCCTGGCAGAGCTGAGGGAACTGTGCCGCCATCTTTGAGGGTGGGGCAGTTGATTAGCATACTCATTGGCTGTGAGTGCCACCATCTTGAGGGCGGGACAGGCAATTAGCATATTCCCTCCTTATTTGTTGTAGATGCAACTGCACGAGGGTCAATTAGCATATTCTCCCTATTAGATGGGGGGAGCTGTTTCTCTGTTTTCCGGGTCCATCTCCGTCACGGAAAAGGAAACAGGTTCCTGAGTGCGGGAGCTGGGGATTAAGAAATTGAAGAGACCAGGAGGCAGAAATAGATTCATCCAGCTGGGAGCCAGGTGGGCACCATTCTTCCTCTGATGGAGAGGCAGCAAGCAGCAGGTTTATTTTATAGGGTCAAAGGAACTTGCATTCTTAACTTGGCCCTAGCATTACTGGATTTACATACCTAGACCCGTCCCTGCTGACACCTGGACAAAGGTAGGTAAAGGCTGTCCATGTGTCTTCTCAGGCGGCTCTACAGGACAGTGTTACAGGTCTCTCCCGTTTCCCCCGGAGTTTTGACCCGCAAGGACCAGCAGGGATACAGAGTGAACGAGAACAGATGGTAGTATGGGTCTCCACATGATGTTGATGGGATGATTGCTAAGATGGATAAACGCTGGAGCAAAAGTTACAAAATAGTGATGCCTGCCCGGGATGGAAAAGAACTATTAAAAAAAAAAAAAAACTTTAAATCTTCCACGAATGTAGCAAGTGCTGAAATCTAAGCTATTTCACCCAGCTTGCCCAAGACAGTGTGCTCCCTTCTGATTTGTAGGGATAATAGGATAATAGAAGCATTCCATCCTTAAACCATGTAACAGGCAAGGAAAGGAAGTCCCTGCAGTACCAACCAATCTCCAGTGAGTGTCGCTATGTCAGGAAGACAGGAGAGAACAAGGCCACAGAGGACCACGGGGCACTGCCCTCCCCTGCCCCCATTACCCCTCCCAGAGGGTTTTCTAACCTAAAGGGACTCAGCGTGGCTGAGCATCCCACCCGGCTCTTCGTCTCGTTCTTGCCACTGAATTCGAAGGTGCAGAGCCTGGTATGGAGATGACTTTGACATAACCATTTGGCCATCCCAGTCGGTAGCTCAGTTGGTCAGACCTGGTCCTGTAAGCCAAGGTTGTGGGTCTGATCCCTGGTCAGGGCACATTCAAGAATCAACCAATGGTCAAAACCTGTGTGGCCCCAGAGTGTCGGTCTGTGGACTGAAAGGTCCCAGGTTCGATTCCGGTCAAGGGCACAGACTTTGGTTGTAGACTCCAGCCCTGGTTGGGGCACATGCAGGAGGCACCCACTTGATGTGTTTCTCTCACATCGATGTTTGTCTCTCCCTCTCCCATCCTCTCTAAAAATCAATGGAAAAATATCCTTGGGTGATGATTAACAAAATAAAATAGTTTTAATTAATTTAATCACGTACACTCTGTCTCATGGTGGAAACAGCCAATATCTACTTAGGACTAATATCTGTACATAATTAGAAGCACATATGTTAATGTAAACATGCTGCTTAAATCTGTTGTGCAAGTGTCTCTGATTTCTGCAAGATCACTGCTTTTTTTAATCACAGAGAACGTCAAGCCTTGTGGACGAGAAAGTGGTGCTGAGGTCACACATTCCCAAGCGGGCAGGTCGTGGTGGAGGTCAGGCCCCGGCCTGCAGTGGCCCCGGGGAAGCTCTGAGCAAGTCCGGCGTTGTTCTCACCCATCGGTGAACAGCCTTGGAAATGCTTGGAGACCTCGGGGCAGGCAGAGCACATAATCTTTTTTTTTTTTTAATATATTTTATTGATTTTGTTCAGAGGAAGGGAGAGAGATAGAAACATCAATGAGAGTCATTGATCAGCTGCCTCTTGCACACCCCCTACTGGAGATATGCCCGCAACCAAGGTACATGCCCTTGACCGGAATCAAACCCGGGACCCTTCAGTCCCCAAGCCGATGCTCTACCACTGAGCCAAACCGGTTTCGGCTATTTTTAACATTTTTAAAATTGATTTCTGAGAGGAAGGGAGAGGGAGAGAAACATCAATGACGAGGGGATGAGGGGATCAAATTGTTTAAACTTAAACTTCTTCTAACGCCACTTCTTCAAAATAGACTCGCCCAGACGGTGGTAGTTTGTGGAAGAGCCACACTCAAGAGGCCAAAGAGCCAGATGTGGCTCGCGAGCCGCCGTTTGCCGACCACTGCCCTAGCCGGTTTGGCTCCATGGATTGAGTGTAGGCCTGTGTACCGATGAAGGGTCGGGGTTTGATTCCCTGGTCTGGGCTCCATCCCCAGTAGGGTGTGCAGGAGGCAGCCAATCAGTGATTCTCATCCTTGGTGTTTCTCTCCCTCTCTGAAAAATAATAAATAAAATATACATATAAATATCTAAATAAAAGGACAGTATTCCTTAGTGCACCAACTGCTGAATCTCCTTCTTTCATTTAAAAAATTAATGACTCTTAGTCAAGGGTACAGGGGAGTTCCTTGGACTATTCTTGCAACTTTCTGTAAATGAGATTATCTCAGCGGCAACCAGCTCCACGCATCCAGGGGCAGCTGCAGGCGAGGTCCTGGTGGAGGCCGAGGTCAGCCAGCAGCCCGGCAGGGGCAGGGCAGGGAGGGAGCAGGGTGCAGGGAGGGAGCGGGGCGCAGAGTGGGGGAGAGAGAAGGGATGGCCGCTGCCTGTGGCAGAAGGTCACTGAGGACCTCGATGGACAAAGGCTCCCAGCAGGCGGTGGAGGAGGGAGGACGGCCCCGGAGGGAGGCCAGCTGTGGGTGACCCGGCGATCCTCAGCCTCGTTGGCTGACCGGGCCGCAGGGTGGGGCGTGGGGGTCACCGTGAAGATTCTAAAATGTTCAGACCCGGCCATTCTGGCTTCTAAGTGATGGCGCCTGCAGTCCTGTCCAGCCAGCCCGGCTCCTGCTGGCACCCTCCGGAGGCAGCCCCCACAGGGGTGCCCAGAGCCGGCCAAAGTCAGAGCCCGGCCCAGCCTGGCCACAGGCCCCTTTGTTCTCTGCGGGGCGGCGGGCGGGGCGGGACCGCTGCCATCGCCGGGGCGGGCCACCAGGGGGCGGTGGTGTCCCAGGTCCGGCTCCTCCAGCATTCATTCCCTTCCAGCGTCTCCCCCAGCACAGTCCCAGGAGGAGCCGGAATGGGAGGGGCTGGGCTG